TTAGTTTATGCAAAGTCAGACAAGTATAATATTATACTTGTCTGACTTTGCATAAACTAATCGATGAACATGATCGATATGTCTTTTTGCAGAGCATGAAAACTTGTATCGATTATAGGATATTAATTTTTGTATTGAGCTTATAATAGAAAAATTACAGGTTGCAAAATGATTTTTTGAAACGTCCAAAAAAGTAGATCCCTAACCCTATTTAATCTCCAAATGTTTTGTTTTTCACCCTCAACAAAAACAAAAGAAATAGACAATAATGTGCAGAGTTGCATGGTATACCTTTCTATTCTACTAAAAATGACATCTAAATGGTTGAGAGATTTACAACCTTGTCCGGCAGTATCTTTTAACAAACTCTAAAATTACTATAATAAAAATAGTCTTAAGAAACTATTCCATAATAAATACTATGAGCATAAAGAAATGATGTTGAAGTCATAAGATATCTATTGTTATATTCACACTTTCAAACACTTTTATTATCATTGAAAGGGAAAATTTTTCGGAAAGATTCAATTGTGATATTCATTCATTCTTTTTTCTTTTTCTTGTTAATTCTCACTAATCATTCATACAAATTGACAACAAAAAAAAAAGAGCCGTACAATGCTACAATACAACAGAAAAAGAAAAGAAATAATTATAATCAATGCATTAGACTAGTAGGAAAATAAACGAAAAGAAAAAAAAAGTTATACGAAATAAAATGAAATGAAACGATTAAATAATCAAGTTTTGTTTTCGACGAAATCAAAAAAAAAAAAGTAAATCAAATGAAGCATTCCTCTTTTGCTTGATATTAGATCATATTCACCGGTCAAATTCAGGATCATTGACTACTTCAACCCGACAACTTGTTCTGGCTTCACCAAATCGATTTTTGACAATACAATCAATAGTGCCAGCATCCGTTCTCATACACTAAATAAATTAATGAAGATTTAATAAATAAATGTCAGACAATGTCATATTATATTTCAATGCATACACGAGAAAGAGAAAAAATGGCATTTTCACCGTTATAATCCGTTTTTACTTGTGTCGTTGATGAAATTAACTAAAAAGAAAATAGAGTTCAAATTGATTGTATAAAAAGTAAAAAGAATCTACATTGTTATTATGAAACCAGTTCACAGCCACTTGTAAACCGACAATACCACATGACAATTTTAAAGGACGACCTTCAATTATAGTTATATCATTGAGTGGTTGTGTGATACGTGGTGTAGCATCGGAAGCTGAAGCTAAAGGAAAACAAAAAATATCAAATAATTATTAATCAATGTTTTAGAAGATAAGAAAATTTTGAATTCTTACAAACAACAGTTAATTGAGCAATTGCTTCTTCTCGACCATATCTATTCATTAATGTACATTTTATTTGGCCATTATCACGAATATTAACTGGTCCAATATCCAAATAATTTATATCATGAAGTTTGTATGTTCGATATTGTGATGATGTTGAACCGCCAGCGGCAATTATCTCTGGTATACGTGAATCATTATGAGACCAAACAATAGTTGGAAGTGGGTCGCCACCAAAACAACATTTGAATTTAGCTAGTAATATTCAATTCAATTTAACAATCGTATTGATTCAGACAAAGAAGAAAAAACATATATAGCAATAAAGAACTTATCCAATATAAAATGTCTCTTTTTTCAGTTAATGAAAAACATGTTTTTATAATAAATTTTAACTTTAACTTTTTTTTTTCAAAGAAAACCAATTGTTTCCGAAAACTAGAGATGAGCATAGCTACGTTGTGTTAATATACCTATTTCATTGGGTAACACAAGCACTGGTTGTGGTCGGATTAAAAAATATGGTCGAACAAGTTTATTTTCTTCATCGCCATCAAATGTTACTGACCATGAAGTATTCTGTTGATGATGATAATCATTTGATTGAATTAATTCATTCTTTCTTCTTGTAGTCTCACTTTTTGAACGGTAGTCAGCTGAAATAATCGGTCCATTTACTAATGTATTTTTTTTTCGTACATGAACTACAATAATAAGACATAATTGTATTATATTTCATAATTTGATTATCTCAGATTGCGACATGAAGAATGTCATGCAAAACACCGAATAAGATAAAAGAAAAACGAAAAACGAACATGGGAACATGGGAACATGGGAACATACTTAATCCATTATCGAGCGATCGTTTAAAGTGTTGTAATCGTTTAATGATTCGATCAATAAATGTTTTTATGACTGCTAAATAAGAAATAAAGTCATAAAAAAAAAGAGATAATTGTTTTTTTTTTCTTCTCTATTGTGTGAATATATGCAAATAACTCTAATTGAAATAATCAATATTCTTTTGATTAAATACCTTTGCCATTATTATTATTATTATTACTATTCATTGATGTCTTCGTATTATTGAGCGCATTTTCATCAATAAATAACGTTGTATGTAAATCATTCACGCACAAAGAAACATGATGAGCTGATTCTTGTACTGGTTGAGATGATGTTTGATTACTTGTCTGATAATCAGCGATGTTATCAAATGGTGATGAAGTGATTACATTATTAGAATGGAAAGTTGTTTCTTGATTGTTTGTGTCTGTTACGGCTGCTGGGTTAATGGGAATGAATATGTCAGGTTCATGTCGAAAACGCATAGGATCAGATTGAAGACGTTCCCAAACAGCGGGACGAGGCATAGAAATAGCCGGCGGGCCATTTGATGCAGTAGTAAACTAGACATAGCATATAAATAAAGATGATATCAATGTTTAAATAAAGAAGAAATACATTTCTTACTGATGATTGTTGCTGACAATGAGTATAGTTTATTGTCGTCGGATGTCTTGCAGTAATATCTGTATCACTTGATGAATCTCGACTGCTTGATGATGAACTATGTTGTCGTTGTCTTGGACGTTCACGTTCAGTCATTATAGGTATTGTTCCATTGATTGGTACTCGACAATGAGTTTGCTGTTTCCATTCGTCTACTGAAATATTATTTGTATGTTGTTTTTGTGGCTGCTGTTGTTGTTGTTGTTGTTGATTCACAGATGCCATTGATTCCGAATCCGTAATGGGATCAAGTGTAGTTCTATAAGAAAGTATATAATTCGGACCACCATGAGCATTCACATATTGAGACTCTTCTTCTTCTAACATCGATTTCATCAACGAATGATATGCATTATCAGTTGTATGACGTTTTCGTCGATCACGTATTCGTTCTCGATATGCAGTTGGCCGAGCTACTAATCCTGTAGTCATTTTTTCATTGAATGGTGCTCGACGTTCATCAACTATGGATGAATAACGACGTCGAACTTGTCGAGTTGGTTCGTATTGTTGTTGTTGATTTTGATATTGTTCACGATAGAGAAAGTCGACGTTAGCAAGTTCGTCAACAGGCAGACGTTCAACAACAATTAAATCATGTTGATTGATATTATGTCGATTTAATACAGGTAAACTATAATTTTCATTTCGTTGATATCGTCGATAGACAGGCTGTTGTTGATGAAGACGAATATGAACAGTATCAGGAAATATAAAATCAGATATTCGATTAAAACTTTTTGATACAGGTCGAGACATTGGTGGTAAATAGTGGTATGATCGTGGTCGTTTACGTGATGCAAACCATTCTGATGGTAAAGTCTCATAACTGTACATTTTTTTTTCTCTTCTTTTTTATATCTAAAAACGAAACAGATTTTATATTTCATAGTCGTCAAACAACCTTCATTGATACTGTTAAATACTCAGATTGCATGCGTCACTCACCAACATGACACGACTAGTCTCTTATGTAATGGACTAAAGCAAAATGGCATCAAAAGGACAAATGAATTGAAGTGAATAAAGAGAATGTAGATGAGAAAAAAAAGGAGAATGAGAAAATAAGTAGCGTATGTTCGCACATATTATGTATGAATGTTATACGTGTGGCAAATATTAGTAGCGAGTACGGTGATCGATCTAAATAGATCGAGTTTCGTTTGATCATTACCGTCATGAAAAGTACTAGTGAATACTTACGCAATCATATATACAAGATTCAATTAGACCAACGATAGTCAGCAACTTCATGACATACTATAACACATATATATATTTATATATTGTATATTGGTAAGTTAGTACATGCTATTCAATACTTGTCGCATTAATGTGTGAGCATAAGCATATCCAGATGAAGAATACAGGCGACGCCCACATGCATATATGACGAAAGATCAGGCACACTCTTACTATAATAGACATGCTTTCATGATAATCACAGATGCCATACGGCGAAGAATAGATAGGAAGATGCATCCTCCTATGTTTCTTAGCTACTGTATAAGAACACACATGTATGCGCACCAGCAGGAGAAAAAATAACACAATTGCAAATCAAGGACGAACGCTATTTAGACGCTCATAAATAAATATAGTATTCTGCGACACGAGATACCATTATACATGTATTCATGTATATAAATTGCTGTTGCTATTGCTGTTACTGTCACTATTGGTTCTCTTTCTTTCTCACTTGTTTCTATTATGAGTTTTTGGGAAAAGGAATTGGTTAATTAATGTGTCAGATGTAGAATGATGTTGATAGCAATTACATCACTTCGATATGAAGGATCGTAAATACAATATTCTTTTTGTATATATGTATGGCATGTCTGCTAATATCAAAAGGTCATATTGTAAAAATTAAATGAGTTGACAGCAGTTTCTGTCATCCAAAGCTATTGTTGTCTTTAGATACACCTGTCATATCCTGCCGAGTGCATAGACAATATCCATTCGTAATTAGAAACAAGCTAATATACACACCAGGCAGTTATTAATAGTTGTCTATTTTTCTTGTCGTATATGTTGATCGATTCTTAGATGCTTTTTGTCGACATGTGGAAATAAAAGAAGAAAAATAATTACCAATGGACGTGCATGCAAAATATCTATAAATGCATGTCATAACAAACCTGCATGCGACTAAATTTACTCTTCTCTCTTTCTCCCTACCGAGAAATTGTGCTCTGAAGTTATTATATAAATAAAAACAAATGAAAACATTTTTATTTGTGTTTTCTATCTACAGTCGCATATAAATAGATTAACTCACCAACTCTTTATTTTGTATAAACATCAGATATCAACAACTAAAGTGATGAAAGATGGTAGACCATACAAGTTTAGTATCTTTATCATTTTCCTTGTCAAATGGCATTTGAAGTGCTCGCATCAGCAATAAAGCCACAAGAACAAAAACAAAGATATTTTTTTCTTTCGTTGTATGCATGTGTCTGTGTTGTGTGTGCAGCCGCAGTGAAGAACGTCGACTGATGAAGAGAGAAACTGAGATGTTTTTTTTTTTGTATAGCGTCGCACACATTGGTTTGTAGAATCGACGAACGTCCTTCACATACAATAAATTTTGTTCTGTTATAAAGACGACGAATGCGCTCGTGGTGTGTACGCTCTGTGTAGACAAGGAAAAGGAAGAAAAAAAAATAGAAAGCAAGCAAAAGGTATCTTTCATCAAAAAAAAAAGCTAAAATTCTATCATTTATAATATAAAATGATTGGCAAAGTCTCTCTGGTAGACACCTTTGTATTGTCAGATGTTCCTTTCATTTGCTTGTTATTTGTCAAGTATAAAAAAAAAGAGAAAAGCTTGTCACATGTCAACAACGTAGTATTTAAATCAACCACTTTTTTGGTTAAATTATGTGTATGTGTAGACTTCAACCGGTTTAATTTGCATATTGTCAATGTAATAGAACGAACTAAGCAGGGATTCGAGTAAGGCCGAAAAAAAAGAAAGATACTAGTAGTTGTTAACCTTGATTCAGCTTGTACAATACAATGTCAAACAACTTCCTATTGTGCAGTTTCTACAATATATTAATGAGCCAGACATTTGGTAACGGTTAAAAAAAACGCAGAAAGAAATAGAAACGTATTATTCTTTCACCATCGAAGGAACATTTATGTCGTGTTGGAAACAAAAGAAGAAAAAAGAAAAGATGCAACTAATGTTGTGCGTGAAAATTTCAAGGTAAAATCAATTGAGAAAAATATTTTATACAACGATTTAATGAGAAAGAAAAAGAATCTATCAAATACTTTCATTTTACGATAAGACTAAAAGTATTAAGAGACTTGATGATGATGATCAGTATATTTGTCCTTTTTTTTATCTTCATTCATTGATCCGATTGATGAAGGGAAGAATTATAACTGATGATGCAATATTCAATTACGGTCACATTCGTCATTCTTATATCAACAATTATCCATTCTTATTATTATTATTATAGAATTGTCAAATTTCACACATGTTTGTTCAATCAGCATAGTACGTTGTTAAATGAATAAAAGATTTCTATTACTTTTTTCTGTTACGTGAGATACTCTTGTTGCATTATCATGTAAATTCTTTTTTCTTTAAGAGAGAATCACAGCTTGTTATAGGTTATATTTCCTGTCACGTATTCCTAAATCTGATGTTTGATCGAAATCATTGTTCAAATTGATTCAGAAAAAGATAACGTCTTAAGATCTAGATGACGATTTACCTCTCTGTTTTGACCATTTCTGATTCTTCAGAACAGTACAATGAATCAGATTGAAATTTTTACCATACCTAGAGCATCTAAAATACATCGACACGCATTTGTGGAAAAAAATTCTCAAGAGAGTTTTCTGTAAGACTGCATTCTAGCACCTTAAAACCGATCATAAAACTTTATCTGATACGTCTGAATATTTATTTGGGATACCTTAGACTACATCTCAGAGATATTGCTGAACGTTGTTGAAAATCTGTGCTGTCTTTACTATGAGAGATCTATTTGAAGGTTCAAGTCAAAACCAGGCTGTTGACTTCCAGAATTCTATAAATTCGGATTGAAAAGTCACAAACAAAAGCGAGGAATTTTAGTTCTGAAGAATACTTCAAAGTATATGTGGTCAAAATTTCAGTTCGATCGGCCAAAGTTATAGGAAGATTATTAGCAGTAAGCACTAAGAAAACTGATATTTTCCATTACACTAAGTAAAATAGAAAAACTTCAAAATAATTATTCTGAAAAAAAAAACTTTCTTTAATCTCGTAACTCTATAACAGTAAGCTATTTAGACTCAAATGATGTCTCTCATTATAGATGATACTTGAGGCTATTACAACTTATGTCCAATTCAAAATCGAGCATTTATTTGAAAAAGAGCTGAGGGAAGTACCCTTAAAAGAAATAGCAAAATGTTTTTTCAAACGAATTTTATGAGAAAAATCAATTAAGATAACAATGGAGGGAATCTTCAATGATCAAAATCAAACTTGAATAATGTAAAAAAAAACAATGATATAATGTTTATTGTTATTTTCTATTCAGTTGTCAAATATGAAAGATTGAATTCGATAGTTCAATTTTATCTGTCATTGACAAAACCACGTTTCGTTCTTACTTTTCTCGCATCAAATCAAATATTTGTTTGATATGAGATTTCATTTAAAATTTTATTATCATAGACAGAATGAACATCAAGATTTTTTTTAATATCGAAAAATAAAACCATATATTAGTGACATTGATTTTTCTCCGCCATCTTACTTTTGTGAAATATAGAGATTTTATTTTTATTGCTCGAAAATTTATCGAATTATATTACATTGTGAGAGTTCTTTAGAGGTTTGTCTATTATTGATCACAAGTTTTAGAGATAAAACAAAAACAGAATTGTATTGAATTAAAGTGATTCGTAATTGATTATTTGAATAGCTCACCTTTCGATAGGCACCGTAAAGACACTGGTAAATTTGAATTATTGTGATGATTCAGAACTTGATGACATTTTTGTGTGTAAGCCTTTGACTTCAGCAAAGCGACTTCTTCAAAAATTATTCAAACATGTTTCGACAGTGCTCAGGTTTTTGAACGATTTTTCTAACATCTATAAGTTTCTATAAAAAGTAATACTTTTGCTTGTGATAGCCTTGAGTAGAGTTAAATTTACTATAGAGAATATTTTCTTAACTTCTATTTTCTAATATGTGACAAAATCTTTGAAAAAGATTATAAATAATATTGCCAACGACGTGTTGCACTAGAACTATCTCGTTCAACAGAGGAATTATGAACATTTTCATTGTTGCGTTATTTTTTCAAAATATAACTTTTAGTGGATAAAATTAAAATTCTTTCTAGGTGGCTTTAGATATACTTCTTAATTCTTTTTTCTTTGCTTTAAAGGTTGTAGTGGCAGTAAATATTTATCTGATAATTTTTTTTTATATATATTTTTTGTACTGAGTAAGAAAGTCTACTGTCGTATGAGTTAGCTTCTTTATGTTTATTTTCAACCGAATCCAACTTAAATACTCATACAAGATGAACAGATATCATTTTCAAACCATAAAAATTACGCTCAAATGTTGAATTTAGTTTAAAAATACCATTAGCTCTTCGATGTTTTAAATAACAAAGCTGTAGGAATTCTTTTGGAAGAAATTTATGCACTATAAGTATCCAGAAACTGTGGTCTACTGCGACTTTTCATGTAGAAATTTTTACTAAAAAATCTTTTATTAAGATTACTAATCTCTAACAATTTTCGCTCAAAAACGATTTTCAGATATGCAAAATCAATCATGATAAATAGGAGCGAATTCTTAATAC